AACTTAGTGGCTCAGTACAAGACATTACAATCTTCAAAACACTAACATGTTCTGGGTCCGCTGGCCTGGCTGCACAAGGCATAACTTTTTCATCAAATTCACAGCAACAAAAGGAAAGTTGTCATCTCATAGCCAGTAAAAAAAAAAAAAAAAGTTCTCCCCCATTCCCAGAGTTCTTGCAGCGCTCCCAATATGAGCAACTACTGTTTCTAATATCACTATACATTCAAATGTAACTTTGTAAAGCTGAGTTTGAAAACGCCACCTCAGCTCTTGGCATATAAGAACTGTTCACTGATGATGGGGAGATGGCGGAAATTAGCTGAAGCCACTACTTTCCTCAGATTTCTTCTTTTTTAACAAAAAGTTATGCTCTGCAGCATAACTTTTCTAAAAGGGAGTTAGCCAAGTTTCTAAAAGCATCACAGCCCCTTGACAGCTCTGCAGCTTTTCCAGCACAGGCAGTACCACCTTCCTGAGCCTAAAGGCAGCTCCCACCTTCCTACCAACGTTCTGGGAACCCACCAACACCAACCAGAGAGCTATGAGCAGGCCTGTTGGGAAATATGAGTGCAATCGCTTGGCACCTACTCTGCCCCCCCACCCAACAAGAATCAGACACCCCTGCCCAACAAACTGTTATGGCTTAGCCCACAGGCTAAGACTGGGGCCACAATGGCCCTTGGGGAGAGCCTCAGGCCTGTCTCTCGAGGCAGACCTGCAGCTATTCAATACTTCACAAGGCCTCAGCAGCCTTGGGACATGGGGGGGATTCTCTGGCAACCACAGCAAGGCAGCGGGGGAGGGAGGGAGGGAGTCTTTCCCAGTGCTCCCAGGTGTATGAGAATTACCATATTCATCCAATAATTTCAACAATCAATATTAATAAAAATATTCAAGATGTAGCAGGTTGTTGGTTGTAGCCACATTGGTCTAAGGACATAAGCAGACAAGGTCCTTCGGGTAAATGCAAGATCTTTAAAGCTTGCAAAGAACTATTTTTTCAACTATTTAGTCGGTCTAATAAAAGATTAGACATCTACCCAAAGAACCTTGCCTGCAAAACATACGATTGTTTTGGAGGCAGGAAACTGATGCACCAAATGCAAAACCCAAGTCACTCTCAGAGAGTTTTAACCAACTCCTGGGCTGGCTGTCAACACTTTCCTAGCACTGCTTGCCTTGAAACATTTCTTTATTTCAACTTTGATGCGCCAGTTCTCACTCCCTCCCTGGGACTGACAACAAGCAGTGCACAGGACAGAAGAAGCCTTCTTTGACTACTTATTTAGGGGGGGTTTCCCAGCAAAGTGGATCCTGCTGAGCTTCCAATACAATCATTTGGCATTGAAGACCTGGCGATGGGATCTTCCCATTCAAACCCAGCGCTCGCCGCACCCGAGCAGACAAAGCCCGAGGCGGCCCCGGCCCCCACACAACAAAGGCGGCGGCGCCCCCCGCCCCGCACTCACCTGCCTGCTGCGCTGCCCGCGCCGCC